GTGGAGCCAGCAGACTTTTCCTCTAACCTTACGGGTCTATCTTTCATCTTTTGTGAGGGTGAAGATGCATGATTCTTCCCTTAAGGGGGTTTGTAAAAGGAGACAATTCCTGCAGAATTGTCCAAAAATAAATGCTGACTCTGAAGATTTACCCAGATAGAGCATTGTGGACTTTGTACCACACTGCACCTACATTTTATATTAAAGCACCTGAGTTTCTGCAGCATAGTGGCACTGAATCCTGTGGTACATTGATATAGGGGTTTCAAGTAAATTAAAAAACAAGCTTTTATTGAATTGAATATGAAAATGAGTAATAAAATGAGGAACACTGTGGTTATTGTGATATTAAATACAAGTCTCCATTGAAGGACTTGTCTAGATGTTGGCAGTAGGTCTGTGTATATGAGGGAACTTTTAGTGCATGTTAGCAATGTTCACATAGACAGAGCATGGCCTGCTAGTGAGCTGTAGATTTACGCCCTGACGTGCCTCGCACTATTTTGTCTGGACAAACCCTAACTCTTTCTAATTTAATACTGCCCCCATACTACAAGATTCTCTTCCACACTGAAAGCAACACGTAGTATGGCGGGATAGGATGGGGTGAGAACTAGAAACTTGGGCATGGTGGTAGGAGGCATTTGGCACCTACGAGAGGGGGTGGAAGCCTTTGGCACTGAGGCCAGGATTAATACCTTCTGTTCCCCTTTGTGTTGTGGGCAGGGGTTGAAGTGAAGATCTGACATTCTGGGGGGGAGGGGAGAGCTTAAACATTTGCATACTTAATTTGTTCCTCATTATTACAAAAACACCACATTGTACTGAGTTAAAATGCTGTTTTGGATACTACCCCCCTGTTTTTTCCTCTTTTTTTCTTCACAGCAAGTGGTAAGAGGAAGGGCTTGTTTAGTGGGTATCTTCTTCACTATTACATGGTAGACAACTACATCCTGCTCCAGGTTTTTTGTGCTCTGGACCAGCAGGATCTCTGGTAGAAAAATTGGGCTTTGCAACTCATCAGCAGTATAGCTCCATTGCCAACAGTAGCAATGAGGGAAGCTGTAGGGTCGATGGGGGTTGGACATTTTTAACAGTGATGGTGGTACAAACAAACAAACAAAAAAACAAATTGATCCTCTCCCCCCCCTCCCCCCTTTTGGAGGTGGTCAAAATTCAAGAATTTTGGATTTTCAGAAGTTGGGTTAATTCCCCATTGGAATAAAACCAAATTTGTGGAAACTTTTCAGAAAGACAAAAATGTCATTTTGGAAATAGTGAAATACGGTGTTTTGGGGGGCAGGGGGAAATAAATGAAACTGATTGTCAGTTTGAGTGATCTGCCGCCAGGGCTCCCAGGGTCTGTGGCAGCCCTGCCATGCAGACTGTCCTGGGGTTGGGAATCCCCAGGGCTATCAGAGACCTGAGCCACAAGAAATCTAGCTTGTACTACAGGCACAATAGCTAGAGATGCTCAAAATATCACTACCCCCTACTACCATAGCCATAGCAAGCATTTTAAAAAAACCCAACCCCATCAAAAGTAACTTTTCTATGGAAGGGTGATTGTCACGTGTCCAGACAATTTTTACAGCTAGATATGTATAAAATGGAATAAAAGCCATGAACAGCCTTGAAGGAAACAACCACTAGGCATTTTACACACAATTTGCTCTTTTTCCAGAGCTTTTCCTTCACTATAAACTGAATGCCTGACTCCTGTCAGTGCTCCAGTGGCTGGCAGGCTCCCTGCCACGAGCTGCAGACGCTGGAACACTCGCAGGTTTCCAGTGGAAACCTGCCTGGTGTTTGAACAAGTTTTATCAAATCTGAAATAGATTTTGGAAAACACTTCTGAGCAGCTCTGTCCTTCTGCATTACCGCTGCCAACTGCGGCTCCTAATGTTCCTGTTGCAGCCTGAGCCTTTGAGTGCAGGAAGCTGTTTCCAAAATGGGGGGGTGGAGTGTTGTGCATCTTTCCCAAAGAAAGGTTTCTTGCTAATAGCAGCAGCATTGATTTGTGAATAGAAATCAACCCAGTGCCTATCAATCAGAAGTAAAGTGGCCATGACAGGGTTTTATACTTACAAGCCGTAGGGGTGGAGGGGACAGAAAAGGGACCTAGAGTTTTGAAAAAGAAAACTGCCCAGCAATAATCTGTTTAAACATTTATAGATTGACTTGGGTTTTTTAAAAGGAAGATAATGTAAGTTTAGGAATAACTGGCTGCTGTGTACAACTTTGTTTTGAATGTACAAAAGCCTGTCTGCAACAATCCCAGCTATAACGAAGCCTGTCTGTGTAAGCTGGTACTTGGTGGAATTATATTCTTGTAAACAGACTGGAGCAGGGACTTCCAGAAAACGGAGTCGATGTTTGCCAAAATGCAGCGTGGCTATGCTCAGGGGAACTGCTGATGGTTCACTTATTTTGGACTTGTGCTTTGTCTCAGTAATTGACTCCATATGGCTTTTAACCTACAATAGCGACAAGCGGTTTTACAGATACTGTCTCCTCATAGGAGTTACTGCTGCTGTAGTAGATGACATAATGGCAGCAATGAATGTGTTCATATGCATGCCCATGCCTTAATGAAACAAATGTGCTCAGGCTTTCACTGAATACAGACAATTGTGGAATTAGGGCTTTATTTTCAGAGGAGTGAGTGTCTTTAATTCATCTCTGCCACCCAGGCCTACTCTGAACTGTCACTTCTACAGTCTTCTTACAGACCAGTTTCTGCTTTATTGTGTCAGTTGTCTGTGGAGTCACAACTCTGCCTGAAAAAATTCATCAAACAGAAGCTCGTCCACAGCAGATAGTGCACTACATGTAGTAAATGCACGATCTGCTGGAAAGTTAGGTGAAAAATTACACTGAAGCTTATTGTTCTCCATATAGCTATCACTTCAGTGCTGTTTAGTCAAACTATTCAAAGGTGAAATCTATACTGGACAGATATTTCCACACCATAAACTAGCTTTAAATTAGATTGTAACAAAGCAGCAAAAATTGTCTAATAGCACACACTACTTACTTACCTCCCTTCTGTTTTAGGTATCTCAAGTACTGTGCTTATATGTACTTAGTTATGCTATACACCTGTACAGGATGGGGAACATGTCATGCACCAGAATCTAGTGCAGTCTCCCCTAGCCCTATTCATTGTCCCATTGCCAGCTCACTTTCTCTGCTACACAGTCTGACACCTCCATGCAAAGCTCATCTGCTCAATAATCTCCCATTGCTTTTAGAATCGGATTGCCCCTTAAAGTTTGAATAGTGGACAATGGAATCCATGTATAAAAAACAAATGCTACTGTCAGTTCAGGTAGTGAAGGAAAGGCTCTGGAAAAAGAGCTAATTGTGTGTAAAATGCCTATTGGTTGTTCCTTTCAAGGTTATCTGTGTTTCAGCTGTTCATGACTTTTATTCTATTTTATACTTCTCTAGCTGCAAAGATTGTCTGGACAAGTGACAATCACCTTTCCATAGAAAAGTTACTTTAGCTGGGGTTGGAGTTTTTTGGAATGCGGGGCTAGGGTAGAAGGAGGTATTGATACTTTGAGCATCTCTAGCTCTTGTGCCTGTACTACAGGCTAAATTTCTTGTGCAATATTCAGGATTTCTAAAACTCTTGAGCAGCTGAGTGAGAGAGGTGGCCATGTACAAGAACTAAATTTGCCAATAAACTTCATGTTCCAGCTTTCATTTCTAGAAATTGTCAGTTAGTGGTTTTAAAATGGACTTCTGTTACAAATCCAAAGCATTGTACTTAAGGAAGTAGGCCTGAACTTGTACGGTTTAAGGATATCCTTCATGTAGCAGCCCAAGTTACATCCTGTAATTACATTAATGATATGTCATGTAATGAATTTAGTCAACTTTCTTGTTGCTATTAAGTGAAGTGACAGCTAAAAAACAAAGGTTTCATTTTTTATCTAGGTAGCATAATTCGTTGTATGAGGCGGCTAGAAGAATTGCTCCGACAGATGTGTCAAGCAGCAAAGGCCATTGGAAACACAGAGCTGGAAAATAAGTTTGCGGAAGGTATGTATTTAGAATATGGTTATAAATAGAAGGGGTGAAAGCATGTGCCTATGAACTAAATCATTTCAGCTTGTAAAGAAAATATTTAAGCCAAGTTCTTCCCTTTTGAATTGTTATTGAAAATGCTACATTATCTGAGATAAAAGCACTCTTAATTTAACACATTGTCAACTTGATTCTTTCTATAGAGAGGTATGGGTACTGGAAGGTCTGACTTGGCTTTAGAGAGTTTATTTGCAACAGGAGTAAAAGCTAGCTTTTTTTCCCCATAAATATTTGGTAGATTTATACCTATAACTGCTTAAAAGCAGAAACTCTACCTTTGGAAGGCTAGATGCATTATCTGTACTTTATCCATGAGTCTGAAGTCATGACTTCGACTGTGCACATAGACTATACAAGTCTCAGGGCCTGTTAAAGGTACCACATTATCTAGTTCAGTTTCTACCTGTATGACAGGCATACTGATCTGTTTTTTTCTTTTTGATAGGAATTACCAAAATCAAGAGAGATATTGTGTTTGCTGCAAGCCTCTACCTATAAGAAATCTATTTTCTGGAAGACCATTATGGATTGGGAAGCAATCTGAGACTTGCTCACGGAGCAGAATAATTTTAGACTGGTGGCATCAGGCCAGTTTGCCATCTTCACCCCCAAGACAGACATTTAATGGTGTAAGCATTTAAAACAGGAAGCATTCTAGCAAAGCATATTACATACACTGTGCTGTTTGTACATAAGTGTTACCATGTTATTTTAATAAAAAATTACATTTGTGTTTTTATAAGCAGTAAGCTTGAATAGAATTAAAAAATTTTTAAAGCTATTAGATATACACAATGCTGTTATATGTTACTATATACATGTAAAGTGAGCATCCAAGAGATATAGCAGCAGCAGTCCCTTAAAGGCATTTATTTATTTTACATAGGGAGACTCGTTAATCATTTTTCTTTTAGAAAGCAGGAGACTTCACAGGATCATGCTCAGCAATTCTTCAGGGTTGGTGATTACTGCCATAGTGATTTCCATTTGTTGGTGTCTCATGTAGAGTTGTATGCGAATCTTCTTCTTTGGGTTTAAACGTACATCCCCTCACTTTGAAAAAATCTGATACGTACACCACCTAAGTGAACAAATTATACACTGTTAGAATCCTGTAATTGGCACTTTTGTCTTGAGGACTAGAATCCTGTAAAACCTTATGCCCAGTGTCTGTCAACTAAAACTATCCACATTAAGGAGGTAGTCCTACAGTGTAAGTTCTTATGCATTTGGATTGGTCTTGTGTAGTGGTATGTGGAGCTAGGGCACTAAATTAACTGGTTCTGAGAGGAAAAGTGACTACAAGAGCTATTTACATTAAAGCTCAGATTTTCTGGTAGTTGATCAATCTAATATTTCAGGTGACAGCTTGCTCATTCTTTTCCTTTATAGTATTTTGGGATGTAATAGAAAAAAGGAAGTATGTATTTATAGTGAAACTAAGTTTAGCTCAAAAAGTCTACTTATTAATTGGCTGACCTCAGTTTCATACAATCCAAGCAAATCCTGCACACGCTAGGTTTCTGGAGGATCACTACAACCTTCCTTATGAGTGGACATTCTAAAAGTGTAAGTTGCATGCATCAGTGTGGGTGTTAATCCTTTCCAAGTTCACAGTTCAAAGCATTCCTATCATTTTATATTTAAATAAGTTGCAAATTGTTATACATATTCTGCTTTATAATATAAACACTTCATTAGGAGAATCTGTGGTTAACTTTATGCCATTTATGTACTGTGCACTCAACCCAAGGAGGACAAAATATTCAGAGAGGCCGATCAGCACACAAAACCTATTTGAAATTGACAAACTTACTTTTAACAAAGGTTATCTACTGAATTAAAAACTGGCAGCAACCATCTGCTGCTTAATATTTTAACGGTCAAACACTGAACTGCTGCAAGGCACTGGCTAACCCTAACCCTGGAACCAAAGTGCTAAACCTAGTGTTTGACAGAAGTAGCCTCTTCTGCAGGTACAGAGTATTTCCTTCATTTTAGTTCAAAGTTGAGGAACCAGGAAAGAGTGTTGTCCTCCACCTAGCTTTTATTCATAGCGTGGAAGAAGGATGAGATTTACTAGTTCTAAAGTCTTTGACAACCAGAAACAGCCCAGAGCCTCCTGCTGCCCTACACCAGACACCTTCCCTCTTTAGCTGCCTAGCAGCAGACCTGGTTCCAGCTTCCCTTCACAGCATTTTTCAAATAATATAATTCTGTCCATCTGCCATTCACTTATGGCTCCCACCACACCTCTTTCCCCCTGTCTAGCTCCATTTCCCCATTATACTGACCCAGGGTGGACTGATTTAAATCAAGTAGGAAATCATGATTTAGATTATCATCTTGTTTTGTATTTGTACTTTATTTTCCTAAAGAAAGACAACCAGTGAAAATCATCCTGCCAGGAAAACCAGTTAAGCTAGCATAGTTTAACATGCATTTCAGAGCCTTAATTTTTACATGTGTTAGAAAATGGCGACTATTTCTTATTTTCTAGAGGAAGATTAACTTTTTACTGATGGCTTGACAAATCATTTAAAAACTGAATTAAACAACATATTACCCCTAGTAGTGAACTGAACTATGTTTCTGGTCACCAACAAAAACGATTAAAGGCCTAGAAAACATGGCCTAATATTGAAAAATTGGATTTGTTTAGTCTGGAGAAGAGAAGACAGGGACACGGTAACAGTTTTCAAGTACATAAAAGGTTACAAGAAGGAGGTAGAAAAATTGTTGATCTTAACCTCTGAGGATAGGACAAGCAGCAATGGGCTTAAATTGCAGTAAGGACAGTTTAGGTTGGACATCAGGAAAAACTTCCTAACTGTCAGAGTGGTTAAGCACTGGGATAAATTGCCCAGGGAGGTTGTGGAATCTCCATCATTGGGGATTTCTAAGAACAGGTTGGACAAACACCTGCAGGGGACTGGACTAGATGACCTCTCGAGGTCCCTTCCAGTTCTGATTCTATATCCAAGATTTTAGAACTGGAAGGCCTCATTCTGTTCCTTTATGAATGAAAATGAAATGTAAAGGGAAAACAAGCAAATCTGACTCCCAGTCAGATTCTCAACTTTGAATAAGCGACAGTAGTTGAATAAACTGAAGAGGAAATATTCTCTGACCATGTAGAAGAGGCTACTGTTATCCAAAAGCTAGTTCAGCACTCCAAACTCTGCCAGTGCCTTCCAGCAATTCAGTGGTTGGCCCTTCTTTAAAACGTCACACGTAATGCCTGAACGTTGTCCGTTTAATTTAATGCTAGATTATAGTAAATTTAGGCCTCAACATAAAATTGACATTTTAAACAAAATTAAAGTTATCCATTCTGCCCAATTCCCACCCAGCACAAATCTCCTTGCCTCTGACATCTGCCGCATCCCCTGACTTCCTCCTCAACAATTTGTTTTCTATTCCTTCACATTGGCCTAGTAACACCTGTACTTCTCCAGCTTAATTGAATCTCATGTCCTCAATCCCAGCCACATTTTCACCACCCTTGACTGACTCACTCAAACCTTCCCCTCCTCTCTCTGCAAAGGGTCTTACAGATTTCTACCAAGAGAAAAATTTTAAAAAGACATGATCTTCCTTCCTGCCTTCTCTTAACCCCTCCACTTGTCCCAAATGACCCAATGCCAGCTCTTGCTCTCCTTTCTACCACTCATCCCCTCCCTTACTTAAACATCTCCTCTTTTCTGGCTCTTTCCCATCACAATAGAAACCTGCTTTAGTCTCTCATCTTAAACCCATCCTTGACCCCACTTACCTCTCCAGCTACCAACCCTTCTCCTTCTAATCTCTAAACTCATTGAGCACACCTGTTAAAAATCAGTCAACATTCTCCTCCTCCAATTCAATCTTAGACCCTCTGAAATACAGCTTCTGCCCCTTGCACTCCCCTGAAACTGCTCTAAGTCTTTACTCACCCTTTCCTAGCCATGTCAGTCACAGCAGCAGTACTCCATCCTCATCCTTGACCTGTCAACCACCTTTCAAACTGACTGTACTCCTCTTGAAATATTGTCCTCTCTTGGCTTCCATGAATGTCCTCCCGCTTCTTCTCTGACCTCTCAGATTGCTCTCATCAGTGTCATAAGAATGACCCTACTGGGTCAGACCAAAGATCCATCTAGCCCAGTATCCTGTCTTCCAACAGTGGCCAGTGCCAGGTGCCCCAGAGAGAATGAACAGAACAGGTAATCAAGTGATCCTTTCCCTGTCACTCATTCCCAGCTTCTGGCAAACAGAGGCTAGGGCCACCATTCCCGCCCATCCTGGCTAATAGCCATTGATGGACCTATCCTCCATGAATTTATCTAGTTCTTTTTTGAACCCTGTTATGGTCTTGGCCTTCACAACATCCTCTGAAAAGGAGTGCCAGAGCTTGACTGTGCATTGTGTGAAGAAACACTTCCTTTTATTTGTTTTAAACCTGCTGCCTATTAATTTCATTTGGTGACCCCTAGCTGTCCCCTATAAGTCCTTTGGGGATCCTCCTCCCCCCAGCTTTCCACAGGGCTCTGTCTTTGGTCCCCTTTACACCATATTTCTGGGTAATCTCTCTGCTGACAACTCAGATCTACCCTTTTTTCCAAGGCTGCCTTCTGTCCATACTAAAATCTCTACCCATCTCGGACATCTTGTGGATCAAGCTCAACATGGCTAACAGCTCTGAATCTCCTCTCCTGCGCTTCCCTCCTCACCTAAGCACGGGACAACACCACTATCATGTCTGTCACTCAGGCCCACAACCTGGACATCCCCGTCAACTCTGACCTCTCTCTAGGTCCCGATATCCAGGCTATGTTTAAATCTTGCCGATTCTTTCTACAAAACATCTAAGGTATGGTCTTTCCTATCTCTCCATACAGCTAAGACTCATGTCCATTACAGGAACATCCTTTTTTCTGGTCTTGACAAACACAGCCTTCCTCTACACGCTCAAGTCAGAATGCTACTGCAAAAATAGTTTTCCTAGCCTGTCACTTTGGCTTTGTCACCCCTATTTGTCCTCATTTTCAAAGCCCTTCACTGCCTATCACCACCTACCTGTCATCTCTCATTCATGACTGAGGTGACAACACTTGCCTCTGATCTACCCATGATGCTATCCGCCATTACTCGCTCGTTAAATTTTCAAACAGGCACCTTCATGCTCTCTCCCATGCTGCCCCTTGTACTTGGGAGGAGCTCCCTGAAGGGGGAACTACCTAATCCTCCTTCAAATTCATCTTTAAACCTCCTTTCCCATTAAGCCTACAAAAAAATTAACAGTTACAGTGCTGGTGTGTTGAGATCACTGCTTATCCGACTGGCCAGTACACGCTCATGGTTTCCTGGTACTCCCCTGTCTGTATTCATCTGTCTTAAACCAAACATTGTTCCTGCCCCAAAGATCTTACACTCTGTACAGAGGCTAGCACAGTTAGGTTCCCGGTCCATTACTGGGGCTTCTACATTCTATGGTGGTAATAATGTGATCTAATTCTGTACACGTTTTCTTCTATTCCCTACCCCAACCCTGCTACTTTTCACACCATGTGGAAAGTCTGTACATTTCCCCCTGAACAAAGCCGAGGCTTACCACACATGGCATGAAACCTACTTTTAAAATAGTTTTGATTCGGGCTTAGTGAACTACTTATGAACTTACGATGAGCACAGCTACCACCGCTCCCTGAAGGAGTCCAGTCAACACATCACTCCAGTGATGTTTGTAATCAGAAACACGGGAGAGACCCACGTAGATAGATGCGGCAATGAGACCAAATTGCGCTGTGGGACGTACAAGTCTTGCCCAATCTCCTTTCATTCTGGCCTGAAGATAAAGCTGAAAGACAGGAAAAGTTGTTATGAAGCACCTCCGAAGCAGTTTTCATCTGGAACTGCTTGGCTGATGTCATGGCCCCAGGTAACTCAAGGTTAATCAGAAGTTACATGATTCAGTATTCACATTTCAGAAGTATACTATGCTCCATACCCCTGAATATTAAGTTAGTTCGAAACAACATAGTAGTTCCGGGATATCAAATCCCAGCTATGTTACTCTAGTGTAAATACCCAACAGCTCAGTACAACATGAATACAGAGATTTCAGTGATAATTCCACTATAGTCTTAATGTTTTGTATAGTTATGCTACTCCCCACCCTTAGTTTGTTATATGTTGTGTAAAGGAATATAGTCCATTAGCACTGATTTGACAAAGGGCTACATTGTTTCAGAATTATAAGATGCTGGTGCCACACTAAAGCCATTTAAGGAGTGGAAGAAAGATCTCAGTGAACAGTAGAGATTAGATCAATATCTATTTCTACTGATTAAAGCTAGCCAGCTCTTCCTTCATTGCTAAGCCATCTTCTTAGGCTGTTAAAATGCTGTCAGATATAACTTGCAGGGTTTCAAAAACACTTTTCATACTCCAAACAGGAAGCAACAAAAGACAACAGCGTGAGTATAGAATACAGAATAGTTATACGACTATATAAGTAGGAGTATACAGGCCTTTAATTGTCTACACATGATTGCAATAACTAATGGTGCTAAATACAGCCTGCCACTTAGGCTATGTCTACACATACAAGCTTCTAGCAGCACAGCTGTACTGCTGTAAGAGCGCTCGTGTAGCTGCATTATGCCGATGGGAGAGAGCTCTCCCGTAGACATAATAAAACCAGCTCAATGAGCAGCAGTAGCTATGTCCGCAGGAGAGCATCCCCCCCGAGCAACAAACGTTTGGCTGACATAAGTGCTAGTGTAGACATAAATAAAGCCCATATCATAATTGTGTAAATTCAGCATAAAATTCTGGTTCTAATTGCAAAATAGAAAGCTAATTTAGCTATTACAACGAAGGATACCAACATTCATCAGCTGTCACCACAAAACTACAAATGTGTTTAGGTTGTTTTGACAAAGTTTCAATAATGTGGCTACCTACACGTGTATTTACATCACTGGAGTTAAACTGTTACTCTACAGACTGCACCTCAAAAGTCCTGGAATATTGGAAAAAGATTCTTAGTGTGGGGGTGGGAGGGACTAAAAGTTTGTGGCCATTTTTAACTTCTCTTCCCCCCCCCCCCCCCCAGCTCCTTTCTCCCCCCCCCCCTTCTTTCCTGCCTCTTGGTGAAGCAGCTACCTTGCTGTGCATTCTGCTGCTTTAAAAAAGTTTTTAAAAAGGCATAAACACAGAGGCCTGACCTGTGATGATAAATAAATGCATCTGATGCGAGCCAAAGCCAAGTCCCAGCAGTAAGATTGAAATGCATTTTAACCTGCCTTGGCTCTAGTTATTGCCTTTGAACAGCTGATGTTTTACTCTACAGAATGTGGAAATCCCCTCCCCCCCCCCAAGTGGAAGAGGTTTGCCAGCTTCATATTAAAATGATTATACTCAGATAGGGCATGAGCTATTTTAAGCATAACCGAACTTTCTAACTTCATATCAGCCTATCCTTCCATCACAGCTTTTGTGCTCCCTCCTACAAACCCCCTTCAGGAGTACAAAACACAGGTCAGAAGATCTTATATGTTACCTTCCCCATATAATCCACACAAGACACTGCCTTGGTCTATCACACTCCATTATCTCCAGTACAGAAAGAGGCTAGAGACCCCATGTTCCAGCTGAGGGGAGCTTTTCTTCAGTCCATCCAACATACAACTTAAGAATCCCTAGACACGCTTAAGAAATCTTGTACTGGATGTAAGCAAGAAGTTGAACAGGTTATAAAGATTAGTAATGAATATACACCACAAAAAGTTTGCAGAGTGGCTTTTTAGTGATGCTGTTTTAAGCAAAACTCCTTGTTATTTTACCCCAACTCTTCTGTACTGTGTTTTGTGTCTTCAGTGTTCACAAGATTTTTACACAGCCTCTTCCAAATGCAGGAAATCTAAATGCTTTATAATATATTTAATGGGGACAGTTTTGATTTTGCTTCATGGTACAACTTGAATAGTGACTGCTAGTGAACAGCAGCCATTTGGGAGCTCAGCAATAACTCAGTTTGCAACACTGAAACCCATCCATTCCCAGGAAAAAAAGCACACTAGTATTACCCTATCATCTACAAGAGCTTTACAAGAAAGAGCTAATGGAGCTGGGATGTGTGCTCAGTGTCTCAAAACTGCAGCAGCAGCACTGGTCAACAGCTTAAATCTTGGTGTAAAACTTGAATCCATAACTTTGCAGTCCAGAATCTGAAGGGCTATCAACTGAGCCACACAGGATTCATGTGCTACCATGATACACAAACAACCTATGGTCAATGCTTCCACAGCCAACTTCAAAAACCACGTGCATCTATTATAACCATTAAGTTTGTGTAAATACTTGTACAGTGTGCACACTGTACATTCAAAGCTGCTACTTTCCAAAG